CCCACTTCCTTTCATGTGTCTCCCAGTTCTTTTCATTTGTCTCCCAGTTCTTTTCATTTGTCTCCCAGGCTGGGTGCTTGTGGGCGGGTTCCTGGCTGGCTTGTCTCCCACTTCCTTTCATGTGTCTCCCAGTTCTTTTCATTTGTCTCCCAGGCTGGGTGCTTGTGGTCGGGTTAGCGGCTGGCTTGTTCCCGGCTGGCTTGTCTCCCACATCCTTTCATGTGTCTCCCACTTCCTTTCATTTGTCTCCCAGGCTGTTCCTTGTGGTCGGGTTCCGGGCTCGCTTGTCTCCCACTTGCTTTCATTTGTCTCCCAGGCTGGCTGCTTGTGGTCGGGTTCCCGGCTGGCTTGTCTCCCACTTCCTTTCATTTGTCTCCCACTTCTTTTCATTTGTCTCCCAGGCTGGGTGCTTGTGGGCAGGTTCCTGGCTGGCTTGTCTCCAACTTCCTTTCATTTGTCTCCCACTTCTTTTCATTCCCCAAAAAGTTTACTGTTAGGGGTTCTCAATGCTTTACAGAATGGTTGCCTTGGTGCTGGATGGTCTGGTCGGGTTCCCGGCCGGCTTGTCTCCCACTTCCTTTCATTTGTCTCCCAGTTCTTTTCATTTGTCTCCCAGGCTGGGTGCTTGTGGTCGGGTTCCCGGTGGCTTGTCTCCCATTTCTTTTCATTTGTCTCCCAGTTCTTTTCATTTGTCTCCCAGGCGGGGTGCTTGTGGTCGGGTTGCCGGCTGGCTTGTCTCCCACTTCCTTTCATTTGTCTCCCACTTCTTTTCACTTGTCTCGGTGTCCCGGTGTCCCGATCATGTTTTGATTGTGACACAATCATGTTGTGATGGTGTCCCGGTCCTGTTTTGATGGTGTCCCGGTCATGTTTTGATGGTGTCCCGGTCACGGTCATGTTTTGAAGGTGTCCCGGTCATGTTGTGATGGTGTCCCGGTCATGTTGTGATGGTGTCCCGGGCATGTTTTGATGGTGTCCCGGTCGTGTTGTGACGGTGTGTCCCGGTCATGTTGTAATGGTGTCCCGATCATGTGATGGTGGCGCGGTGATGTTGTGATGGTGTCCCGATCATGTTGTGACGGTGTCCCGGTCATGTTTTGATGATGTCCCGATCATGTGATGGTGGCGCGGTCATGTTGTGATGGTGTCCCGATCATGTTTTGACTGTGTCCCAGTCATGTTGTGATGGTGTCCCGGTCCTGTTTTGATGGTGTCCCGGTCATGTTTTGATGGTGTCCCGGTCATGTTGTGATGGTGTCCCGGTCATGTTTTGATGGTGTCCCGGTCGTGTTGTGACGGTGTCCCGGTCATGTTTTGATGGTGTCCCGGTCCTGTTGTGATGGTGTCCTGGTCATGTTTTGGCGGTGTGCCGGTTATGTTTTGATGGTGTCCGGGTCATGTGACGGTGTCCCGGTCATGTTGTGATGGTGTCCTGGTCATCTTGTGATGGTTTTCCCGTCATGTCATGTTGGTGTCCCGGTCACCTAGTGATGGTGTCCCGGTCATGTTGTGATTGTGTCCCAGTCGTGTTGTGACGGTGTCCCAGTCATGTTGTGATGGTGTCTCGCTCATGTTGTGACGGTGTCCCGGTCATGTTTTGGTGTCCCGGTCATGTTGTGATGGTGTCCTGGTCACGTTTTGGCGGTGTGCCGGTTATGTTTTGATGGTGTTCGGGTCATGTGACGGTGTCCCGGTCATGTTGTGATAGTGTCCCGGTCATGTTGTGATGGTGTCCCCGTCATGTCATGCTGGTGTCCCGGTCACCTTGTGATGGTGTCCTGGTTATGTTGTGATGGTGTCCCAATCATGTTGTGACGGTGTCTCGGTCATGTTTTGATGGTGCCCTGGTCATTTTGTGATGGTGTCCCGGTTATGTGATGATGGTGTCCAAGGAAGAGATGGTCGATGTGTTGAAAACAGCAGCTGTTTCCAGATTTTGCTTTTTGTCCCGGTTTGTATCTTGCTATTCAGCTGGGCTAATTTGTTTCCCACTTCTTTTCACTTGTCTCCCAGTTCTTTTCATTTGTCTCCCAGGCTGGGTGCTTCTGGTCGGGTTCCCGGCTGGCTTGTCTCCCACTTCCTTTTATTTGTCTCCTCTTCTTCCCAGCTCTGGACTGCTGTGTCCGCCTCTGCCTTGCAATCCTTTACATTTGTCTCCCAGCTCTGGGCTGCTGTGTCCGCCTCTCTCTTACAATCCTTAATTTTACATGTGTCTCCCAGCTCTGACTGCTGTGTCCGCCTCTGCCTTGCAATCCTTTACATGTGTCCTCGCAAGCCTTTGCATTTGTCTCCATCTCGCTTGCACATTTGCCTCCCTGTGTCTACATTTGTCTCCCAGCTCTGGACTGCTGTGGCCGCCTCTGCCTTGCAATCCTTTGTCTCCCAGCTCTGGACGTCGCAGGCTCTAGTTGCAGAGTGTTCCGATTCGAAAAACACAAACTGTTTGGGGTCTACGGTGGTGTAATTTTCCAATGTACTTTGATGGTTTACAAGTGTGAGTAGTTACAACAACTGATGGCTTGTGAGGACAACTGTGAAACACTTGGCAAAGATATGCAAAGATACTGTAGCATGTGGAACGTCTTAGAACTGTGAGGTCACAACAGGCCATTGTACAGTTCAAATCTGCTCTCAACATCTGCCTGGGGCGCGTGCTTGGGACTCATGGATGATCCAGCTTTGTGATGAAGTTCTGTATTGATCTGTTGACCAGACCAGCTGTCACAGAGTTCTTGAACCGCTGGATGAGCTGAGAGGAAAGCCGGACCGGCTTCCCCACAGCAGAGACTCGCCGAGCTCGTTTTGTGTTGCAGAAGCTGAAGCAAGCTGAAGAGTTGACATCCCAGCAACTCTGCTCTGCCCCCTTGGGGAGCTTGTGAGAACCCTGTACCTTTTCATACCCAGGAGAAGTACCATAGTGCACAGAGCCAAGTCCACCATGTTAAATTGAGTTTGCCACTCTCCGAGGCGCTGCTTTTGACCGGCGTTGGCCTGGCGAATGCGTGCCGAACACGTCATGGTCGACGAGGGGCGCCCCTCCGCGGCAGGCGGCAGGTGCGGGAGGAGGGGAATGGATGTGGAACGAGGGCGTGTGTGTTCACCACTGAGAGCGACGACTTGGATTTTCAGAGATTTTAGAGCGACGGAGGAAGCTCTTCAAGACGAGGGCCCTCTATTCACAGGAGGCGACTGATGCGACCAGTGACCTCGAACCAACAGGCACCTTGAAGAACGAACCTTAGGAGGCAAAAAGACATGTTTCTCATCGCCCCTATCTCCATCCGTCTGAGCGTCTGAAGTACCAGCACCGTACCAGGAGCCGACTCCACGGGATGAGGCGAAGGAAGGGGAGTCTTAGGAGACCAAGTGTGGTCGTGATGAGCTTCCTCCGTGATGGCTTGTAGAGGAGCCACCCCTTCAGCGACCTAAATCCGATGTGAACCTCTTCCCTTCACCAATAAATCCACCACGTGGCGCCTCCCAGCGCCCCCCACTTCTCCGGATGACCGTGGACGCTCCTTCCGTGCGACCTGGGGCCGTTCACCCGGTCAGGCTCGGGTCGGTGTGTCCGGCCACAAAGAGGCCGGGCTGGGTCGACCCGCCGTCCGCTGTCGCGTCGCTTGACGCGTCACAGAGAGGCTGAGACCGAGGGAGGCAGGGTCCGGAGGTGGCTGGACGGTGCAGGTCGCGCTGGCGCAGCTGAGGTGACAGGGCTGAGGGCGGTCGGCCAGAGGCCAGAGCTGATAAGCTCAGCAGGTTCGGAATCCGCTCCAAAAATGGCCGCTGTAAGAAGGTGCCAGGTCCGAGTTTTGGGCTCCAGGACATTCAATCCCCAGAGGAAGACCACCACCACAAAACCACCACCAACACCTACACCTACCAGCACCTTCATGTCGGGCTCACCTGGCTGGTTTCGCCCCAGCCCACTATCCGGGATCGACAGGACACCCGTAAATCAAGGTCCTGGTAAGACAACTGCTTTTCGTTGAGTCTCAGTCCCACGTGCCTGTCGTCTACGCAGGGCCGATCTGCCCTGGTGGTGGGTGGGGGCGTGGCCGGTCTGGCGACCGCCGCGCAGCTGGCGAAGGAGGGCATGGAGGCGGGAGCACCGCATCGATGCACGGCCCAACGCTTGGAGTCTTTTCAATCCCTCATCTGAAGAGGCGTAGCGCATCCAAATGGGGACGAGAATCCCCGCCACACCTGGCAAGGGATCCGTGGTGGGTGCGAGACCCGCACGAACTCGTGCATCCAAATGGGGAGTGTTGCATCAGTATAATACATAGAATGATTCATAAAACACCCGGTTTTTACGGCCCAAGTGGAGGTGATAAAGCCGATTCTAGATCATGGGATCCGGATTACCTGGGAAGCTACAAAAGGTGGATCACCTGCCAAAGCGAACTCTTGGGGGGACATTTGAGGACACCCCACGAAAGAGGAAGAGATGGAAAAGGTTCATCGTTCATCTTTCCACGGAACGGACCTTTAGCGTGGTCCATTTGCGCTTTTTCATGGGGAGCCGAGGAATTTGAGTCTTTCTTTGGATGTGGATGGATTGTGGGATTGTGAAATGGGTGTCATCCCAAAATGGGATCGGATAACTTATTTGTGTTTCTCCCATATGTTGTAGGGAAACTCCTTCTCCATGGAGAATTCCTGGAGGAAAACTGGAGAACCCGACACCTTGGCCCATGGGGGAGGTTCTATGGGGTTCTTGATACAATGACTGGGCAGTGCGTTGGACATTACCCCAACTCTTGGTGGTTCCAGGAGTTCCAGTATTTGTAGGCTTTTCTTCGACCATTTATATCAAGAGATCGGTTGACCTGGTTTTGTGGTCCCCCTGGGGATCCAGGGTGGCCGGTTTGGCCGTTTCAGGTGACGCTGTTCGAGAAGAACAGCGAGGTGGGTGGCCGTTGTCAGTCAATGCAGTCCACCAAGGTGCAAGGCTACCGTCCCGCGGCCGCGACCCGACGCGGTCCGAGTGGGCGAGCGTGGGGGATGCGGTCCGTGTGGGGATGCGACCCGGATGCGGTCCAAAGAGGGGTCATGATGGATGTGTTCTGCATGAAGAGTGGCATACAAAAGCATGAAGAAAAGAGAGTCCCAGGTGTTTTTCCCATGGTTTTTCCTACACCAAGAGCTGAAGTGGCTTCCAACTCTTGGGGTGCTTTTCGCACCTCGTCAAACTTCGAACATCATCCCGAAGGATATTGAGGTCTTGTGGGGATGTGTGGGCTTTTTGAAACATAGACACGACCGACCAATGGAGGCCCAGGGGTGGTGGATTTCAGTCAACCTCGACCTGATTTCCAGACCCCAAAGGTATGTAATTGGTGGAATTCATGTTTCTTCAACCCATCCACATGCATGGTTTTGATCCTTTTGCTTAAGAGTTCTTCGAGTCTTCCAAGGGGTTTGGTGCATGGTCGAAACCTCGTTTCGGACACCACGAACGACGAAGCTTTGCTCCGAGGTTGGGACACCGGTCCGTCGTTGCTGCTCTTGCCCCAGAAGTACGAGGACCGGCGACAGCCAGTGGCGGCCAGTGGCGGCTCCGTGAGTGAAAACAGCCCTTTCCTGGTCCCGAACCAAGTCCCGAGCCCAGACCCCAGATCTCCTGACCAGTTCGGATTCGGGTCCAACCACTCGACCTGGTCTGAGACCTGGTGGGGCTGACGGACCTCACACCAAGGACCAACGGACAGACCGAAGGACCAGCGGTTTGGGGGTGAAAAGCACGAACGAGGTTGGTTCTTGTAGCCCTTTGCAGATGTTTCCAGATGCAGGAGCGAGCTGTGTCCCAAAAACCCGGGCCCGGCCCAACTCCTGCGGCTAGACGATCTAGACCTCCCAAGCTCAGCTCAGGCTTCAAGATCTTCTTGCAACAAGAGCCGCGTCCGGCCTGCGTGACGCGGCCAGGATGCCTTCAAGCGTTTAGGCTCGGACATCAAGAAAGAGTTGAATTTGAAACGCGTTCCTTGGCGGAATCTGCTGAATCCTGTGGCAGAATAGCGCTGGAGAACCTCTATAATAGAATGACTATCAGGTCTCAGAAGGGTAGGGACAGACCCCCCCTCGGACTCACCCCAAAGACCTCAAGAAGTATAGTTGGACTGTCAAGGCCTTGAATCACCCTTTGCTCCTAGTAGCGATGCCAGGAGCCCCGTTCGTAGCGTCCGATCGCTCCTAGTAGCGATGCCCTTTGCTCCTAGTGGCTTCTTTGCGGTGGGGACTACCTCTGCGACATACTGGTGATGGACCAAATCCTGCATGCAAAAGGCACACAGTTTTCTTGCTGCCCTCGTTCTCCCTCGTTCACATTGGGGCCGCCACAGTGAGAAAAATAAGTACGTTGAAGGTCCAAATCCTGCACCACCTCCTCAGAGGCGTCGTGCTAACATAGAATGAGGAGGCGCAGGGGTTGCTATGCGACCCTTCCAGGGTCAAGTGGTGAGGTGGTGCAAGATGTTCGAGACCGCGTGAGCCCGCGAGACTGTGTGATGCTCCCTGGTTCACCTGTGAGACCGCTCGAGCGACCGAGGTGGATCCCCCCTATCGCGTGACGTTCGGGGACGAGACCTTCGTGGATGTGGATTATGACCCCATGACCCTCGGACGCGCCGTTCGCGCCAGCGCAGGTTCTTCCCGCATGACTCGGTGTGTTTGGGCGAGGGGGACAGGGAACTTCAGCCCAGTGGCCTGGTGGGGAAGCTGGTCGTTGGGTGCTGAAGATGGGGGTGTGAGAATGGGCGAAAATGCCTCTCTTATTACATCTTGTTTGAACCTCTTTCGACACGCAGCTGATGGGGAACCCAAGATGAAAACCCATGAGAGCTGGAGAGTTCCTTGGCGAAGCCGAAGCCACAGAACTGCCTCGCTCTAGATGCAAGTTCCTTCCGCCCAGGAAAATGACCGAGCAGATGGAGAAGTTCGAGCCTGGTTGCACGAGCTGCTTGGATTTTTGGAATATAAGGACGCTACGAATGTAGCAAAGGGCATCGCTACGAACCGGAGCGATCGCACGCGAACCGAACCGGGGCGAACCTGGCCTGAACGACGAGCGGAGCGATCGGACGCGAACCGAACCGTCGCAAAGTCGTTGCGAGTTCGTCCTTCGTCCGTTTCAGTGGCACCTGGGAGCGTCTGAACTGAAGGAAGGCAAAAGCGTGCTTTTCGTGCTGAACTCAAAGAGTAGCAACACATTCAGTTGCACAACATGGCATGTTTTTTTAAAATCATGTTTCTTCCACCTGCTTAAGTTCATGCAGTCTCTATGGCAACATCCAATTGTGGTCCAGATCAGCTTCGGTGATATCTGCAGATTCTGCATCATTTTCCACTTGGTCAGGATCAAAAAGGCTCTCCACACCCTGACCAAGTCCCCCCAATCGAGGCACCAAGCCACTAAGTCTTTCAATCGGATTCAAAGACACCGACGAAGCCATCAATCTACCAGGCTGGGCAAATATCTTTCAGCACCAATCTTCACCACTGTCATAGTAGAGATCCCTTCAGTGGACGGGTCAGGAGTCAGCAGAGAACCCCAGTCATAAGCACCGTAAGAAGAAAACCAATACTTGTAACTCCAAGAGCAATCCAGCAAGCAGGGTTGGATTCTACCAACCATTTATCATCTTCATCACATTTTTGATCTCCGGTTTCGGACTTTTGCCCATTCTTTCAGGAGAGCTACTACCCTGCAAGACGATGCTTGAAATCGCCCGAACCTGCAAGGTAACTACTACCGCTTCCTCTCCGTGGCTCGCAGGATGCTCGACATGGGCTTAGATCCTGGGCTAAGCAAATCGACCGGGCGATCGGCGACGAGACGGTGGGTTGCGGGGAGACGTGGGTGGCACGGAAGTCTTGAAGTGGTGTGGGCGCCAGGTGCCGAGGTTTGCCTATACCCTTACAGATATATAGAATGTATAGTCTATAGTAGAGAACTGCCCAGAAGAAGTACATGAAGAACCACCTGGCGCGAGGGAGCTGGTTTAGCACAGATTTCTCCTTTCAACAGGGTTCATGACCCGCCTGACATCCATCAGTCAAGGTTTGTTCCATCAGTCCGCAACAACCTTTTTAGGGTCTGAGCAACGACCTAAAGGGTCTGGTACCTTTCGGGTTTTGTGCGGGTTATGCAGCACATTTTGTGCAAGATGGTACGCGCCTTTTTCACTCCACTGCGTCTAATTGGAAAATACACTGTTCACTTTCAAACAGTGGAAACAGTGGACTCCTTGTCTTCGCAGCTCAACCCCTTTTTTTCCCTGAACTCCGTCAATGACCCGATCTCCGGCTCTGGGCGACCGTGCCACGGCGGGTGCGTCAGGAACGCTTCGTGGATCGACAATTTGAAAGTTGGCCGGAGCTGGTCGATCCGATAGGCACGGCTCGGCGCTGCCGTGATCGACAGCGTGATCGAAAGACAAGAGCGCTTAAGCATGCTTAAGCGCAGTTTGTTGGTTCTTTATTTTTTTTCGAAGCACGCGGTGTGAAGAGTGCGGACGTTGTGTGTGTTTCTTCACCGCTGTTTCATTTATATGGGGGTCTGGATGGGTGTGACATGGCTTTGGACGGCTGGTTCAGCCAAGCGAAGCGCTCGTGTTTTTGGGGCGGTTTTGCAGACTGACGCAGACCCATGAGAATCGAGGTGATGGTGCCACATGCTCGATGTGGGAATTTCCCAGGTGTGGTGGCAAAATTCTTGTCGCACCCCTAGAAAATCCTACAAACCCAGAGGCGACCCGTTCGGCCCCGAACCAACTGCTACATGTTGGTGAAGGGTCCATTTCGGTTGGTTTCGGTCATTTCACCCGGCGGGAAAGACCACTTTTACAGCTTTGGCTTTGACTGACTCCATTTGACCGAACTGAGTCCAGAGACCTCGCCGGTTTTTGTTGGGCGGCCTTGGTTGACTTGACCGGTGACGTTTGTCGCAGGGGATCAATCAAGTTCAGTCACGAAGGGAAGAAGCCTGAGAATGCGAACGGGCTCTCCATGTAGCCGGCAGGGGTCGGCCCTTCTCCACCGAAACGCAGGGGTCCGGACACGAACCAAACCCTATGTATTCTTAGGGCTGGGAGAGATTTAGCAGATGAGGACCTTTCTTTTACCATGCTGCATACTCCAAGTGTTGTTCTCAAAGTGTTCGACGCTGTCGGGACCCTCACATGCTCAAAAAGATTGGCAAAGGAATCAGTCTTTGTTATATGCGTATACCTGGATCTTCGAAACGGCACAAATAATTGCCTTTTCAGGAAAAAATGCCGTTACGGCGTCTTTTTCCAAAGACGGCGTTTTTTGTTGTGACGAGGCGCACGCCGGCAGAAAGCAAAAAGAAACGGCGTCTTTAAGCGTCCAAACGGCGTCTTTGGGCGTCCAAACGGCGTCTTTCCCCGTCCATGGATTTTGTACAACCCATAAAACGGCACTTTTTTTTGATTACGGCGTCTTTTCACTAAAAAATGCCTCCGGCAAAAATTTGTGCCGTTTGAAGATCCAGGCATATACAGAGGGTCCAGCGCTTTACTTTAACATGCTTGAACATTATAACAATGGTAGTACCCAGACGCTCCGTTCACAGCCCGACTGGTCCCTCAAAACCTAGGGTTTGGAGACCCCAGACCCCTCCATATGAGGGTCCAGGGTCGCGTCTGGGCAGAAACAAGATCCTCCACTTGCGGACTGTTGCGGTGGCTTGCCCCGCTCGCCCGACTCCTCCCAACAAACCGAACCAATTCTGCACCTCCCAACAGTCCGACGCATGACACGTGTGAAAGGATTTCCCGATTTCAATCCAGAAGCAGGATTTCTTCCAACCGGTTCCAGTTCCCATGCTTCTTGCTGCCTGAATCTTTAGGTTCGCCACCTGCCGAACCTTCTCGGACAGTCAGACCGACAGACACGCGTGACACTCGACCCCTCGGCGGCGCCGGCGAGGTTTGTTGCCTGAGATGATTCTCAAAGGCCGTCCGAATTGTCTGTGACCGAGCTCGGTAGGTGCCGAGCTATAGGAGTGATCCGCTGGGGTGGAGGGTTGCCAATCTCGGCCCCACTCTGGAGAAGATCACAGAAGTTTACCATCCCTTCCCTATGAGTCTAGACCCGAACCAATGAAAAGGCTCTTTGCGGTCCAGAGGTCTAGGATTCTTGGCCCCACCAAGGGAGTTCGTGCCCGGTGCAGAAAGGAGTCCATTTGGGCCGCCGAACAGCCGAACGGCGCCGCGCGAGGCTGGTTTTCCATTCCCCTGATCAATATGTCACTTGGGTCGGAATTGAGACGTCTTTCCAAGGTGAAACTGAAGTAATGACCATGCCTTCAAACTTAAAGACACAAAGGCTGCCAATTGGAGATTACGCTCTTTGCTGCTCGAGTTCACTGCTTCAAACTAAGGCTTTTTTCCATTGACGACTTGCTGAAAGCGTGGTTTCAGGAGACTTGCCTTGGGCCATTCAGTGCGCCCGAGTGTCTTTGAGTGTCTTTGAAGAATGCCAAGTCACTATAAGTACAGGTTTGAGTGTCAAGCAATGCTTGGCTGTTTCCTGTGTGCGTGCGTGTGTGCCTTCGGGTTCCCGGGCTCTGCAGGACGAGCGGCTGAGAGCTCTCTTCTCCTTCCAGACGCTTTATGCCGCACGGAACACGGTCGCCGTCGCCGTCGCCGTTGGGCCATGGGTCGACCCCAGCAGTCCTGGAGGCAGCGCCGGTGGGCGTGGCCACGAAACCTCCATGATTCGCAGGTGATGTGGGTTGGGGGTTGTTCGGATTTGGTATTTGAAGGAACCAACGTGAGTATTTGGCTTAAGGGCTCGGGTGTACTTCAAAGACGAAGGGTGAAATCATGTGAAGACACACTGCTACTGGGTGTACTTCGAAAAACCAACCTTCCCGGGGCCAGGAGTCCAGTTTGATGCTGGCGACCTAATGATCGAACCACATCCCACACATCCCACAAGGCTAATTATATATACCCTGGGAGTCAAAGACTATAAAAAGAATGGTCTTTAGGGGACCTGAAAGGGAACTTCCTTTACTTCAGTCGGTCAAAATATAGTCTTTGGACTTCTAGGGTATAGTTATATAATGTAAATATTGGAATCGATGTGATTTCTTTGGCTGAACCGGTCTCCACATGTCGCGACACCGTGTCGAGACACCCTCGGCACATGGCACGAGCGGATCTGAGGTGGGACTCACTCCTTACAATTCTCCTGGTGCTTTGTGCTTGCTGGCTGGCACTGACCTTACTGATGGAGTTTGGTACCCCATGGGAGGCTTCTCGGTTGCAACACAAAAATCAATACGCCTTCTCGGTTGGTGTGCTTGTTCGTTTCTTCGTGAGATGCGACTTCCATGGGCATCGCTGGGAGTTCTGGAGAATCTTGGAGAGTAGAACAAAGAACTGTCTTTTTTTCTAGGCCTCTGGTCCCTTCCTCTGAAGATTCTGAAGGATTCTGATTCGTTGCATATGCACTCGACAACCTCCAAGCTTGAGGTGAAAACTGGTCGCCAAGCTAGATCCCACTGACTCACCTACAGACCACGCATTTTCAGGAGAATGGACTAGTGACCATTGATATCATTGGTCATTTCAAAAACATTTCACAACTTTTCTCTTTTGGATGGCTTTGTTAATGCTAGCTGTGACTCAGTCGTCCCGAATCATGTGGTGGCCCACCGTTCTCAGAACTGGCCCATTGGGAGACTCTTCCCGCTTCACCAGCTTCACATCCAGGCTGGAAGAACGTGAAGGAGAGCTTGGCCGGCTTAGCGAACAAGCACGGCGTCAAGATCCAGACGGACACACCCGTGGACGAGGCGAGTTCCGTGAGACCGCCAAGTTAGCCAGGAACTCCGGTATAGGGGTATAGTCTTCCTGGGTATCATATGTTTCTCATGCTGTTTCTTTTAGGCCTCAGCTTTCCCACTCCGTCATTTTCGCCGCTTTCGCCCCTCCTCCTCCTATACTTGCGGGTCGCTTTCGGGTTTCTGTTCGTGTCTCCAAGCATCTCCAAAGCTTTACTGCAACTAAGTGGTTCAAGGACGCTCTTCGGTTGGAGGCGCGGTCTCAGACCGACCGAAGACTTGCCCCCACATCGTCCCCTTCAACCTCCCGGGTTGACCTGGCCACGGAGTCGTCACGGAGTCGCTGCAGCGAGTGGGTCGACGCGATCGGGGCCCCCAGGAAGGGTGAGTTGGTCGGTCGGAACAAATGGCGCCGACCCAGGAAGGACCGGTCTTTTTTGTTTTTGTGTGTAGGGTCATGATGCCATGTTCCCAAGGCCCAAAAGCTGAGACTCCAGGTACTTTTTCCATACAGCTCTTGAGTTGTCGCCTCACTCTTTCCAGTTGTCTGTCCTCAGTGCCTTAGAAGTTCTTACATTGGCACTTTCGCTTTTCGAGTGAACTTTATTTAGGAGTGATCTGCAATGTTGAACAAGTGCACGAACCTGCGCTCAGCCACCAGAATCCTGCGGAGAAAAGATGCAGATCCCACAGCCAACCAAACCTTTCCCAACCGTTCTTTTTTGTCTTGCATATGAACATGGACCCAGAAAGCCCCCTGGGTGTTGGTTGACAGTAGTCTTGCAGGGGTCCATTGTCATGGTCCATGTTAGTCTGCAGAAAAGGTATCCAAACAAGTGCATGTTTCTTATGGTTTCTTCCATCCACTGTTACATGTTGCTTACCTCACCAGCCGAACCCTATGTACCTCGAAATCCAACGTACCTCACCACTGCGTCCCAAGTCCGTCGTGCCATCCAGCTGTATACCTCTCTTTTCTTCGGGTCCCCACCGGCCCATTACCGGGCCACACAGAAGTCCCATGATAGGCCTTCCCTTCACCTAGCCTACCCCCCTAGGCAGGGAGGCAAGGGGGCTAGGCTAGGATACCCAACCCCCTAGGAAAGGTCCTAGGGCTAGCCTAGGGCCTATCATAGGGGGGGTCCTAGGGCCATTTATGATAGGGCCTACCCTCCCCCTATGATAGGGCCTATCCTAGCCCTAGGCCCCCCCCCCTATGATAGGGCCTATTCTAGCCCCAGGACCCCCCCTTTGATAGGCCTATGGACCCCCTAGGACCCCCCTATGATAGGGCCTATGCTAGGCTACCCTCGGGACTTCATATGCCCACCGGGCAGGTCCTTGTTTCGGAGGGCCGCGCCGTGGGGCTCAAGCTCCGTGACGGCCGCGTGGAGCGCCGTGGCGGAGGGGCGGACGTTCTTCTTTTTATTTCGGGGTATTGGGGTGGGAGACGGGTGAGAGGAAGACCTAGATATTCCATCTTCCAACTATATAATTATGCAACATGTATGCCGAACTTGGCTGGTTTTAGAGATGAAAAGGCGTAGATTTTGCATAGTTGGAAGATCTAATTATATATAGGTATATACGAGGTCTGGCACGAGTTGAAAAGTTGGTTTTAGCCCTAAGCAGAAGGATCATGTGCCAATCATATGTTTTGGAGCTCCACTTGGTGGGGCTCCTCGACTTTTTTGAGCACCCCGAGCTGTTGTTCTTTCATTTTTCTGTTGTTTTTGTTGCCAAACATGTTATACTACGTGTATGTGCATGTCCAGCTTTTGGGCCTATATTCGCTTCACTGCACTTCAAGATACTTTGCTTCAAGACAATCTTGCTGTGCCGAACAACCACCGAATGGTCCAGCCCTTGGCTGCAGCCGGAAAGATCCCTCGACCCCGAAAACCCTTCTCCGCCTTTTGTCACGGATGTGTTTGCTAGTTCAAAGGTTCCTAATTCAAAACAGAGTGACTAGTTGTTCTGGTTGAACCGGTTGAGGGGCGATTAAGAGGTCAGATTTGGCTCTAAGAGGTTGGCACTTGAGGACTCTAGACATTGAGATGCACATGGTAGAACAGATGAAAGAATTATATGCCAACATATGCAGACATGTGGGCGCCGGCGCCAACTGACAAACTGCATCTCTTCAAAAAGGAACAAAGCTTGTCCCAAACTATTCACTGACCACATCAAGATATTCGGACCACAGTTTGTTCAACTTGATACATGTGCCTTAAGACATGGGGTTCTTCGAGTTATTCGCCCCCATGTCGACATGGCGAAATCGCGTCGCGTTGCCGAGCATGTGTCCGTTCCGCCTCCAGGGGGATGAGGTGAAAAACGGGAGCCTGAAAGATCTCCGGGTCGGTGATGATTCCAGGAGTCACAAAGGGGTGGTGTTTAGTCCCTAAGTGAGTGGATAATGGACACCCCGAACCTCCATTAAGCACCCCTTTGTAACTGCTGGTTGAAAGATCTCCGAAATGTTCCTATCTTTGCAAACAGGTTCCGGCCGGTGGAACAATTGGCAAGGTGAGTTCAAGTGCAGCTGGCCACACCCCCCTGTTGGACACACAAGGTCACAAGGGGGGTTGCTGAAATTCCGTGTTTTGAGGTGGGTGTTCAGTCTCAATAGGTCGCAGGGTTTGGGTCCAGGGTGACAAGAACTGAACCCGTCTTTATAGTGCCTCAGGAATGGTGATGTGGTGGTGGTGAATGCTGACACGCCCTATGCCTACCAGAAGCTTTTGGAGCATACTCCCAGCCAGGTGGGCAGACAAAACACTTCCACTCAATTCTGAATTTGAATCATTGTTCACGAATTTGAAAGCGATCCGAACATCCCAGTTGAGTCATTTCAACAATGTTGACTTGACAGCAGCAGGTCGACAATTGAAAACGCTGGGCACTTGCAAAAATCATGAAATACCAGTAGTTTTCATAGGTCTAAGGCTCCCCTTTCAAGAGACCGCTTTCGACCAGGCGGAGGCGCCCTCCGTGGCGGAGACTTCAGAAGATTTGGATGGCCGGGAGTGGCTTGGAGGGAAAATGTTTGGGCCTAGGGAGTACAGTAATTTCTGGCAACTGTTTCCAGCGCTGGATTCACACTAGCTGCCCGTTTTTGGAAGCAAGGCAGGACTTCGCTTAGAATCCAAAGCAGGACTTCTGGGTTTGTCCAAGTGCATCCCTGGAGTTTGTCCAGGCTGGACATATTTTTGACAGCCCTAAGAATCCGGGCCCTCAAACACAGGGTTTTGAGGGTCCAGACCCCTGCGAAGGTGTCGGGTCCGACCCCTGCCATGGAGAGCCCAAGGATTCTTAGGGAGAGACCATTGTTTAGGGTGCGATCGGAGGGCTTTTTCACGGTTCCTCTCTACAACTGTCCTGAGCAGGCGACCTTTAGCCGTGGAACCGGGCCACTCTAAAAACAGTGCGCTTCGCATGCGGAAGGCCCTGTAAAAATGGACTCTCAGCTCGGGACCTGTGGCGTGGCTTCGCGGCCCCAGGTACTCTTGCGGGGTCATTGCCTTCTTCTGGGTGTCCTGGGGAAGAGTTGGAGGGGCTGGGAGCTGGCGAGATGCCACAGGAAATGGGTTTGTCCGGTTTGGAGTGGTTTGGGTGAGATTTAGGTGCTGGAGTCGTTGGAGGGTCCCTTCTTTCAGATCTGCGAGTTGCGTGGTGGCGCTGCTCATGTGGTGGCCTGGGATTCAGAAGTAGCAAGGTGAGATTCAGAGTAGCTTGGTTTAAGAGAGTGGAGGAACACAAATTAAGACCTGCAGTTTGCTGCTAGTTTGTTTGCTGCTGTTTATCTTGTCGCATCAACTATAGACTTAGACTGGAGGTCCAACAAATCCTTGTGCACCCGTTTCCTCTCATTCCCCTTCTCCCTTCTGCCGAGACGCCCACCACCACCGGGCCTGGCTCACCGATCCGTGTCAGGCGGTGGATTGCAAGGTCGACTACCTTCGCCCGAGCGCCCGGGGGTCAACGACCACTGGGGGTCGTCAGAACCAGACGAAAGGATCGGCTTGGACGAGCAAACCTCAACGACGGACGTGTGGGTTGGACGAGCCTTTTAGAGGAGACGACGGCCTTGGAGGCTTTCGGGAACGAAGCGTTTACACATGTTGAACAACGAGCTGGTGTTGTAGTGTAAAATCCTTATAAATCCTTCGTATTCAGAATGGTGATTGGGTAGAGACCATTGGAATTGGTGGTGGTTGGAATCCTAGCCAACTGTTGGGTCTTGCCGTGCTCGGCCCTGCTCCGCCCTCCGCGACGACGAGACGGGTCGCCACCCGGCGTCCGAGAGAGGTCACCACACCATCTTCCTCGGAACGCCGGTGGAAGAGAAGAAGGCGGTGAAAAAGAGGGGGGACGATGTGGTGATGTGGAACATGTTTGGATCATCCGTTTGTCTCTTTCTCTCTCTCTCTCTCTCTGTTTGTGACCGGTCAAAACAGGCGCTGGTTGTGACGGAACATCCGAGGATCTCAAGTTTGGTTGAAGGCCCTGGTGGGTGTTCATACTCCAGTCCCATGCGTCGTGTCTGGGGCCAAGAACCGCACCACTGAACCTGTTGGACGCAGTCAGCGGCCGGGCCAAGACTGCCTGGGTCCAACTGGATCCAACTGGGTTTACTCATTAGACTCATTAGCTGACCAGAAACCATCGGATTGATGGAACTCTAAAGTTCCAACCACTTAAGTTCTGTGTCCAAAGGATCTCAAAACTGGCGCCATCTTCGAGGGGACACGTCCTCTTCGAGACAAATCATCCTAAAGCTCCACTGCAGACTCCAGTAAAGCCTGGTCCTCGACCTCATCCTACCCAGTCAGTGGATAACCTTTAACCCTGGAAGTCAAAGCCTACTAAAAACATTTAAACACATGGTCTTTGGAGGATCCGAAAAAGGGAACTTTTGTTTACTCAAACCACCCAGACTCCGTGCCTCGAGCTGCCCCTCCGCTCCCGCCTCCGCTCCTGTCCCGCAAGGCCTGGGAGCCCATCACCGAGGCGGCGCAGATGCCGGAGCGGCCCAACTTCTATGTGCACTGCCCCACGAGGCGGGATCGCACGACAGCTACGACACCCTTTTTCCACGGAACGGGTCTCTCGTCCCACACGGCGAAGAAGGCGTTTAGCGCGTGCAAGGCGCGTGCGTTCGGCGGTTTTTCTGAGCGTTCCGTGAAAGACGCGAGAGAGGGGGGGCGAAAGGAGGGCGAAAGGGCGGCGGCCTGTGAGATTCTGCTCTGTGAGGACTCTCAGTCTCAACATGTTTTCCAACCAGAAGCAGAACTCCCCAATATGCTTGCGCGTCTTCCTACATGTAAAGGGACCTCAAGCAAGCCAATGATTGGGTTCCAAGTCTTAACCCGGGTTTTCGCCTTTTTTTGCAACGACCGATGCTAGGACAGACCCCTCTGCAGCTCCAGAGGGATGCGAGACTTGGCCCTTTTTGAAACGCGTGGGGCGTCGGGGGTCGTGCGTGGGGTCGTTGGCCTGGGGAACGCGGTTTCAGTGACCGAGCTTTGACACTCTCAACGCTCAACGCTCCGGAGTGGTGGGAGATGTGGGACGTCCACCAGGTCTTGCTGGGCATCGTTCGGATTCCCTGAGATTCAATTCAGTTCAATTCAATTCATTTCAGTTGAAGTCAATTCAATTCAATTCATGTCATTTCATTTCAATTCAATTCAGTTCAATTCATTTCATGTTTTTTTTTCTATCAATGAATCAATCAATCAATCAATCAATTCAATTAATTCATTCATTCATTCATTCATTCATTTTGACTCTCGATCCCTTTGCTGTTTGGGTTTGCATCCAGCAAATACTTCCTCAGAACGATAACAAAAGAATAACAAGCACGGCATGATGCTTTTGTATTCACAAAACCACACTTTTCTGCACTTGTATGCTGTGAAGTTAGGATGGCATTTTAGCAGTGAGAGTTGTTCAGAAGTGAGCTTGAGTTTTGCAGCTATCATTCTGGGATGAAATTGCAGGTTACACTCACGTTACCAAGAGTGTAGAAAGATATAGAACGCAAACAAGGAGATGCCGCACATAGCCTGGCGCAAACAAGACGATTGACAAAATGATAAGTTTCTTTTTGAACAGGCATTTGCCACGACGTTCGTTTACACTGTTACACTCCCATATTTTTCAATTATGGCATGCCTGAATCTCCAAACCCTTCAAACATATGCCTGCAAGACAAAAACCATTTCAGGGTGGTCAAATGTTACATAATTCGCTCTCATCAGACGCGAGGACTGCCACCAAACCTGCATTGGTGACAAACCTAATTCAGCCCCATGCCCTCGCTGAGTAGTAAAATGAATACGTTACAGGGAATACTATTTGGTTAAGTAAGCGATGCCTTTCTGTGCACAAGGTGTGTGACTGCCAGCTAGTTACCCAGTGTTACAAAACTGGCAGCCACTGGTAGTTGGGAAGGTGCTTTTTTATGGTCTTTGTCTATCATGTTTCACCAGTTTCTACTTGCTCATTACAAGACTCTAAGACAGACGGATAGACGGATCTAGAGCACGGATGCACTGAGCTCAACGTTGCGCAGCGCCCAGCGCCCAGGAAAGCATCATGGTCCTCTTCCCCGTTGCGAACATGCAACAGATGGCCGAGGTGCGGCGTCGCTCACGGCGTCCTCCGATATCTTTTTCCACCGCTCGAGCGTGAAGGATGTTGATGTTGACATCGAAGCTCCTGAAGGCAGTTCCATTGCCTTCAGCTATATTCAGCTTCTTCAGCTCCCAGAGTCATTCAGAATTCTCTCCGCCTCGTCCCTGGACGCAAGCGTCAGGCCGGCTTCACTCCCGGCAAGAAGGGCGAGCTCTACCGCGGCCTGCGAGAACAGGCGCGGAAGACCGTGCTCAAGCGCTTCAAGGCGGGATCCTGGAGCCGTCGAGGGGGAGGAGATGGACTGAAGAAGACCGAGAACGAGCATGTGGAGATTGATTTACTGCCCAGACGCTCCGTTCACAGCCCGACTGGTTCCTCAAAACCTAGGGATTTGAGACCCCAGACCCCTCCATATGAGGGTCCAGGGTCGCGTCTGGGTGGTCTTATGTGCCAACAGCGCCACTGGATGCTCTATCTTTTGGGGTGGAAGATGGGGAAGCTTCAACAATCAGTGGTCAACCAGGGAGTTTCAGTGTGCCAATTCTGCTAGCTTCGCTGCGCCGCGCGCCGCCGGAAGAACCCGGAATGGGTCGGACCCGGGCAACCCCGCCTCCGACCGGGAACCGGTAGGGTTGGTCGGCGTTGGTTTGGAGCAGGAGGCAGAGGTTGATTCCGCCCAGATCCCGATATAACCCAAAAAACCCTGTGAGGATCAGACACGCTATAGAAACCTGCAGGGTTAAGGCTGTTGGTTTGTGATTCCGCCTTTACTTTCCGCCTATTTTGTTTTGATGTTCTGAAGCAATCAGATACAAGAAGATCCGGCTCCTCCCGCCCTTAAAGTTCTTGACTTGGAGTTCGGGAAGAACCCGACTTCAGCCGCGGGTTGTGGTTAGTTGATTGGTGTGACACAGCGGACGGGAGCATGTGATACAGCCCAATGATTGAATGGGGTTTGATATATAGGGGGCTCACGCACGTGGAAGTGGACGAGCCTCACCCTGTGTGTGATAGAAACGTCGTCTTCCAAGGAAGCAGTGCCATCATGTGCGACTTCCGATTCCATCCCCCTCCAGATGTCCGTCAGAGAGTGATCTGGCTGGAGCATCCAGTTTTGGAACAACTGATGGCCTCTTCTGCACCCTCCCTGGCTACTCCTCCTTTGGGCAATAAGCAAAATCTCCAAGTGGTTTGAGTCAGCTAAGGACCCGTTGTGTTGGGGTGCAGATTCTCAGGGTCGTTGATGGCTTGGCTATGCTGGAGCTCGAAGAAAGACACTGGCAGCACCAGACAGAACACCCAAACATGTTGGAGATGTTATCTCTTGAAATGTGTCTTTCTTTGCAGACCGACGTCCTGCTGGACTGAAGCGAGTCGTCAACCTCTCTCCATCTGCGAGCGATCTCGCCCCATCGATGTGCTGCCGATGCGTGTGCTGCGCGAGCGAGCAGCGCCAGGAAGCGGGGTGTGGCGATCTCGAAAAGCACATCGTCGAGGAGACGGTGAGGCGAGCGAGATCCAACAGGGCCCACGAATTCGGAGTGTTCGGAATCCAAGCAATCCACAACACCGCACCAAATGGATCCAAATCGTTCCTTGCTGTTGAACACATAATGGAAAGTCTGGTTGCTTAGTGCTGTTCCTTGGATCCACCCGGGTGGCTGTCGAACAGAACGGACATATAACTTGGGGTCACAGTAGCACGGTGGACGCTGGGAAATGGTGGATATTAATGTTTCCTTTTTGCCAACGATGACAAACGGGTGTACTCTGATACATAAGAAACAAACATGAAGCTTGACCTACAACTTATAGGCTAAGTCTAATGCCCGTTGAGCCACAGTCGCACATGAACGGCTTGATTAAAAACCTGCCACCCACCCAACCCACTGCAGAAACTCTGCGGCATCAGCGCCAGCGCGACTCGGCTTGGCGTTCGAGCTCCCGCGGTGGATCCGCCAGGGATCCTGAGCTGATCGGTGAGCTTTACAACCTTCAGCATGGTGCGACCTTCGGTGTGGGAGCTCGGTGGTGGGCGACAGCCAGTTTGGGTGGAGGAATCGAGGAAACGTTTTGGTGGTGCATTTGGAGGGAATTTGGTATGGCAAAAAATCAATTGAACACTCTTTGGGTAGGTTTTCCAGTCAGAAGGCAAAGCATATAGTTATATAGGGTGAAAGGGAATCACTTAGCTTTCGAAAACCTTGTTCTCTCTCTAAGGTTGAACTCTAGTTTACATTTGGGCTTCCCTCACACTCAACATGGATGTCTTTTCTTTAAAAGCCAACATCTACTAGCACTCCAACATCCAGGTGGGTTTTGGGTAATCTAAAAGTCACAGCCCTTTCTTTCCTCATCCAGGTGGGTTTTGGGCCATCTAAAAGCAACATAACATGATGTAACCAATTTTTCCACTGGTTCTTGGTATTCGTGGTGTGCCCCCAATCCTTTCTACCAGGTCTGGCAGGTGATCCATGTACTTCCAGACTTGGAGTTTCAAAGGGGTGCTTAATGGAGGTTAGGGGTGCCCAGAACATCCACTCACTGGATGGGACTAAACACCACCCCTTTGTGACTGACTTGGATTTAAATTCTTATTCATGCTTTTATGATTTTTTATGATATCTTTTTTATATTCAACTACATCATGGATGCTCCATCGCCTGCCTTCGATCGGCGCTCACGAGGCCTCTCCCATGGTCTGCTGCCCTGGCAGGGAGGCTTGGCCATGACGCGGCCGCCCCCACGAGCTGCGGAGGTGCGCGGTCCGGGGTTGGACCGGTCACGTGTCCTTCCTGGAGCTCTGAAGCTCGGACGTTTCGATGCCGTTCGGGGGGTTGGGGAGGTTGATTTGGTGTAGGGATCCAAGTACCTCCTCAGGTTCGGTATGGCTGGACCCTCCTGGCACCCACCCCAGTCCCACCTTCTGAGAAGGCACGACTGGATCTGTAGGGTTTGGTGTAGGGATTGGTGTAGGGATGGCTTCCAGAAGGACCATGAAAAAGAGTTCGGTTGACCTGGTGTTGTCGAGGCAAAACTCATCTAAAGCCTTGAACTGAAAAGGAAAAATCTATACTCCAGGAGTTTCAAAGGTTAGGGGTGCCCCTGTCACATCCACTCACTGGATGGGACTAAACACCACCCCGAGCTCTGTGACTCCTGGTATAGTGGTTGTTTGGTGAACGGTGAAGACCCCCTGACTCACATGGAAACGGGTCCCGAAGACGAACTGTTTGTGAACTCCACTTCCATGGAACGTCGTTTCGTCGTTTCGTGACAAAGACCATGAAAAGAACATGTTGACTTGGTATGACCTGGTTTGGTCGTCTAAAATCCAGTAAAGTAATAGACGACCAAACCGAGATTCGATCCATTGATATCAACGGATATCAATTTGCTTGGCCAGGAATCCTAGGGTAGTAACACCATCATGGGCAACACCATCCCGGAGAATTTGTTCTTTTCTCGTCCGCGCGGGCTGAAGGAGGCAAGCCCTGCTGATGACAGGGGATGAGTTCGGGCTGAACCCGGATGAAGCCCCAAGCAATCCAATGTGTATGTGCTTTTTGTGGGACTATCTATGCCCAGATTGACACCCCTGAAAGCACCGAAGTGTATAGGTCAATAGGTCAGAATGTCACACATTGTGGAGTCTTTGGGAGCATCATTCAGTGGAGTCCCCAGTCACCATCCATCACCTGAGTGCCACACCCCCAATGAAAATCCAGTGCGCCGCACCGAAAGAGCCTACCTGGACCATCCGAGCCTACCTGGACCGTCCTGTCTGGAGATCCCTAAGTAGTGTAGGGTAGTCCAGCCAGGACATCCCAGACATTCCCAGACAGTCGGGTTTTCCTTCGCTCTCTTCCCAAGCGGCTTGACTTCGTGCGCAGGTGGACGGGCTTTACTTCGTAGGTGCTGGCACGCGCCCGGGCAACGGGGTGTTGGGCACTCAGGGGTCCGAGCGGACGTCATGGACACCGACGCTGGGGACTAGCAGCTCTACTAAGCATATATTCTATAAGCCAGACACGACTAATGGGTCTGCCATCATTTATGCCTACATTGACCCCCAAAACCACCACAATCTAGGCATATATGGCAGTCCCATGGAGTGTTTGGGTAAGCACCATTGGTGGCGAAAGGGGAAACTCCACAGTCCCAACCATCGACCTTGGCTACCAGGAGTTTCAAAGCGGCGCGATCCATGGAGGTTAGGGGTGCCCATTATCCACTCACTGGATGGGACTAAACATCACCCCTTTGTGACTCCTGGTATATGTAAAGGACCCTTTTCCATCAAACCCGCCCAAAACGGCCCCGGACCCTCCATTGGAGGGACCAGACTCGCTTGAACATGTATGAACAAAAACACATCACTTCCAGGTGGGGAGGTCGTTCACTTGGGCTTCCAAAACGGACCGCTTAACCAGTCCGACCGGGGCAACCCCGAGGTGTCTCGTGGGCGACCCTCGTGAACCACCCAACACCATCGGCCAAACCCCACGCCTCACGTCGCGTCGCCGAACCGCTGGGCGTCCGTGCCGAGCCGAGTCGACAGTCGGAAGGACCGCCGAAGCCGAGGCCCCTGGTGCTCATGGGCGCGGGCCTCACGTCGCAGCTGATCTTGGACGACGTCAAGGCACGCCGCGAGCGCAGAATCGCTGAAGGGCGTGAGTGGGGAATCGCTGATGCGGAGTGGGGTGGGGTGGAGACTCCGTGGCAGGGTGGGTGGGTGGGTGGAAACCTCGCTGTGTGGGGTGTGCCGGGATCCAGTCGTGCCGAACCTCAGAAGGTGACTGGGTGCCCGGTGCCATTGTCGGGTCCAGGTGCCTTCTGAGGTTCGGTGCGACTGGATCCCTAGGGGTGAAAAGATGTGTAAAGTGTTCTGCAGACGGAGAGGTGGTCAAAGACGGATGGAAACTGAGGGAAGTCTGTCAAAGGGGGGGACGAGAGGATTTTGGGAAGAAATGACCGATGCTGACCAACAGTGGCCCTCATGATTGTTTCTTGGACGACTGACCATGATAAGGATTGAAGGACTTTAGAGACATAATCAGTGAAATTAGATGGTCTCAAGAATTGTTTGTCATACCTTGCAAAACTGACCTCTTTTTGTTTTTACTGCAATTCTATGCAGAAAAAACGGGCCTCTTGAGTCCTTCATCATTTTGCAATTTGTTTGAGACATTTGGGGAGATTGCAAATCACATCGTAGTTGAAGGTCTCCGGCTGTCCAGATTGGACAGTCGAAAGGTCGCAGAACGTCATACTCCATGGTCAGGCTCCATCAGGTCCATGGCTAGTTCTAGCAGCTTGTCGAGATGACTGTGAATACTGTACCTGGATCTGCAAACGATGCTTTCAGGTGCCTTTCATTCAAAAGAAAACCGCAACCGTTGGAAGATCCACGGTCACATCAAGCAACACATCAACGGAGAGGGTCCACCCGGTGTACTTTCATCGCAAAGACCATGCAGAGGAAGTACCTGACTGTGGGAGTCGCCCAGTCCTTGGACAGCACACACATACTAACCCTGTCATGAATGGGACTGTCGTTGAACTGCCCTTTATTGCATGGGTCCGTCCAAACGCTGGAACCCAGATGCAGAAAAAAGCACTAGCAACCAGTTCCATCTGACCTGAATGTCTGACCTTTACCCCAATTGGTTCCTGTTGACCAGATGTGGATGCAACCGAGTGAAGTCCTGACTCGAAAAAATCGGCTTTCACGCCATCGGCAGGCGAAGGTGAAAGTGCCGTCTTGAAGAGACATCACGCGGAAAAAGATGCGCCTTCATCAGGGTTCTTTCTTTCTGGGACGGCTGGTGCTACCATGTGGGGGTTGTTCAACCTAGCTTGATGATCGTTGGTAGGTCAAGCAAGGTATCCTGGTTTTGACCTGTTTTGACCCGCAGCCATGTGACCAAAGACCAGTTGCATTGATTTCGCTGGAGGATGAACCAGGGGCTACAGCTTCCTAGTGTTCTCAGGGCGATGATGGGTGATGCGTCTTTTTTCCCCCCTAAACGAATCCCCTTCTGGGGAATATGCCTTTTTCTCATTTTTCTCTGGGTTCTTGAAGTACATCTCACTCTTGATTTTCAATGTTCAACTGTTATGACCCACCTGGCAGTGTTTTTTGCTCAGACAGCTCCGCCGCTTTAGGGAGCGGTGGAAGCTGTGGACAGTTGATATGGTAAAGGAGACAAGATATGACATACTGATGTAGCATATACCATACAGAGATGCCACCATCAACTGATGATCAGTGAGAGAATGAGCAAGAATTAGGATTGTTTCTTCTACTTTCTGGCATTTTGTCTGAGAATGACAAATAGTTTGTCTCCGGCCTCTTTGACACCGTTTGACGCCGGTGTGCTTGAGTTGTGAACTTGAGGTCGGGAGACAAGCTTCTCAGATCGAGGTGATCTCACATTTTATCCCAAGTGACATCAGTGCACAAAATCAACGTCCTTGCAGTCCTTGCACATGAGCTTCATCCTCTCATGGGACCGACCTAGCGATTTCACCCCAAAGAAGACCAGCGATTTCTTCTCCCACGCGGCGCCCGACCTGCGTTTCTCTTCCAGCGCCGCCGCCCACGGCTGCAGCGCGGCGCAGCCGTCCGATGCATGGAGCTCTTGTGGCGCTCGATCACTCCACGTCGACCCGATGCTTGGCGCACGCACCGAGCGAGACGCGTTCGGCGCGAGACGCGGCGAGACGACGCAGCGAGACGTTGCTTTTTGGTCATGACTACAGTGGCTGAGTTCAGAGGTTCGATGGCACCAGTTAGCCCAAGTTAGGTGGTTTAGATGGATTTTTCCATGTAAAAGACGTGTAGGGGTGCCAGTGCCATCGAACCTCTGAAACATTCTGAAACCACTGTAAGCATTCTGGCATGCCTGACCTCCAACATAGCTCCTTCCATTCGGGAAAAGTAACGCGGGGGCATTGAATGTGCGGTGCCATCAAGAGGATTCAAGTCCTATTCTGAAACTCCTAATTCTTCCAAAATGTTTTATTTCTTCCCCAAACATCCCAAAACTATATGTGGTATTCTTCCGCAACTGTTCTTCAGCAACTAGTCTTTAGAAGCTATTTTAGGATCTACCTGGCGATCTTCCGAAAAGTATTTCACATTCTTCAGAAAAAACTTGCCGCGATTTTCATACATTTTAATTTCATCAGACACTATTTCACATTCTTCAGAACTTTGAAGCTTCAGCGTGAAGGATTGGATCTGACATGATCCGACTATAGCGGATACTCAAGGCCTAGAAAACGAAGAAAGAACACTCTCAGACCCATGTATGGAATGCCATATACTTATTGTACCTATATATACAGTACATTGACCCCAACAAAAACATTCTTAACATCACCCCCCCAACTGATCCCCGGACACGGCCAATCGAGCCCAAATGGATATCCGACATGGGACGATTCGTCCCATGGGACGACACGCCATGACCGGCTTCAGCAACCCCTTCGTGACGTGTCGTGACCGGTTCGACGCGTCAGGCGATCGAAACGCTCAGAAGCCGCGATCGAGTGATCGAAAACGAGCTGGAGATCGAAGTGTTCAGACCTCCCGGCTGAGAGATCCTGAAAAGTGACATACAGTTAAACCCTAGGAATCCAAGTGCCTTCTCAGGTACGGCACCTGGACCCTCCTGGAACCCGCCCCAGTCCCACCTTCTGAGAAGGCACGACTGGATCCATAGGGAAAGGATGTTTAAGGTCCCCATTTGTTCTCCCATAGACTAGCACCCTCCGCTTGAGGCGTCTATAAATAGCCTCTTAGAGGTGATTCGGGGTGTCCAAAACCCACCTGTTGGAAGGTCCTGGTATGTATATATAACGATAATATATAATATAACATTTTATCATACGGGTGCCCAATGTATTTTTCCAAGAGGGAGACATTCCTGATCCACTATGTGTCAAGTAGTAGCCATGGTCCCACTCCAAAAAGGTCACGAACCAAGAAGCTGCCAGGGGCCCCACATGGCCCATCAAACACCCGGCATTTAGCAAGAGACATGGCTTTTGGTAGATGTGAACACCTGTAATTTTTCATGGGTTTTAGGGCCACTGCCGGGTACTCCATCCTTTCTTGGTGAAACCTTCAAACGTTCGAAAAACCACCACGAAGACCGCGGCCGTCTTCGTCCGCACGCAGCCCAAACACCGAGGAACGCTTGGCCTTTGAGTACAAGAGCAACTGGGAGGTGCAACGCTCCTGAAATCTCCTGAAGGTGTCAAGGGATTTTCAGGTGTCAACAGATTTGACAACCGATTTATTTTGACAAGAGCAACTGATTTTCGCAGAGCTTCAGGTGTCAAGGCTCCTGAACTTTGTGACCATAGACCCAGACACGCCATGTTTGTCATATATGCCCACATTGACCCCTCAAACCACCCCAATGTAGGTGAATGTTCCCTACGTGGAATGTCTGGGAGATAGTATCTATATGTATCTATACGGTGAAGATTGACCTGAAAGATTTGTGAGGATCGCCCCCTCAGCCGGCAGAGCATTTCTTCATGCCATGCATGAAGGCCGCGATGCATTTTTTGCTTTTCGCGAGGCAAAGTTGCAAGAGGTCTTGGCAGGTAGAGGCTACTCCTTGGAGACTTGGAAGGCAAAATGACCGAAGTGCTGCATCCACCAGATGATTTCTTTTCTTTGCAGTGCTGGCCATGACTCTTCCGTGCCAAAAAAACGACCAGCGGAATCGACTCGACCAACTGGTGATCTATATATTATCTTGGTTCAGGTACCAAGTGTGCGATCCTCCGGTTCAGGATTGGTCTCATTCAATACCCATGGAAGTCAAAGACTATTTTTAAACCTGGTCTTTGGATGATCCGAAAAGACCTTTCGTTTACTGGGCTGGTGCCAAAAATTGGTCTTTGGACTCCTAGGGAATAGATTATCCATGGTAGCCTACGACGGGACATCTTTGGTCACCATGACGGGGATCGTTCACCTTGACAGAATCCCAGGGTCAGCACGCTGTTGACCCGTTGCGTCTCTCCATCGACCCTGTGGCAATTCAAGGAAGATGTGCAAGGGCGCATCTATGACAACAATGGAAGGCCTTTGAGATGCGCGGGGCGTGAGGATGGCGATCGAAGCCACCAAGACCCTCACCTTCCGACGGGGTGGTTGGTGGTCTGGGATGGTCTTGATCCTTCAGTAGATCATTTGTCGGTTCGGGGATTCCGCGGCTTGAATGCAGGGGGATGCGGCCTTCAGTTGTTGATGACCTGGGGGGTTTCCAGTCCCCAGAAGCAAGTCTGGATGAAACTGACCAGTTCCAGCCACTTCGTAAAGGATCTCCATTGCCTATATAATGGAACAACCATGTGTTTCTGTGTGGGACTACATTAGATCCTTGTCCAAGTCGATCTAATCTGTTGTGTTCCAACCACTTGGCCTTGCAAAGCATGGCTGCAAGTGTTGTTTGGCAGTAGATCGCCCTACCCAACAAGAGCTTTGGCACCAGATCAGCTGATCTCTTCTTTTCAGCTGATCTCATGAGCTCTTGTCACACCGCTGGCCGGGTGTGGGGCTGTCCCACGAGGACATTCAAGAATGTCGAGGCGCTTGAGGCCAACCCACTTGGTGCCTAAGTGGATGACAGTGAGACCATGGGCTAATGTGCTCACTGGGCGCCTTTTGGGTGCAAGGGTGAGGCGCTTACGTCTCGTCCTTGTAATCTACAAAAACGGGAAGGCCAGGCCAAGACGGCCGCAGCGCTAGTAGTAGAACATCTACTACCAGGACCCTCCTGGCTAGTCTGTTTTGTTGGACCCTGTCTCAGGTCTCAATTGGTGACCTGTAGAGTCGGGTCCTGGTATGTGTTTCTTTTCTTGGGACTGGGGTTCCAGGGACTTGCTCGCCAAGAGTGCCAAGAGTGCCATGGCCAGGCCTTAGGTCTTCCGTTGGTCTCCCAAAAGAACCCGCGCGCCTCGTGCGCAAAGACGGGGTGGCGCCATGCTGCACTGCTCGGTGCCAAGTGCGGCCACTGCTCGGTCCAGGAGATTGAGTTCCATCACTTTGAAGACCCAGGGTTGGACTGTGTCATCCATGTGACCGACTCCACCTCCAGGGATCCCAATACTCGTTGTGTGTTTCACGAGGCCTATCGACGTGGTGTACCCGGGCCTCCTTGGCCCCGAGCAGTTCCCACTGCAGATCGAACTGCCCAATCCAGGCGGGCCGGGCCTTGCCGCCGTGGAGGAGCACATGGTGATCGGGAAGCAGTAGGTCCGTAGGTAGACGGTAGACGGTGTAGACGATTCATTTAGTGTTCCCAGACACTCCATGTAACTGTATGGCATATTTACATACATTGACCCCTAAAACCACCCCAATGTAGGTAAATATGCCAGACATGGAGTGTTTGGGTTTATTATAGAGGTTTTCCCGGATTCCTTAGGTAAAAGAGGGGAACGTGTTTGGGTTGTTCATGTGGTTATTCCGAGGCGTCCTCTAAAGGCGTCATGCTGATGACTTCGAAAAATCGAATGCCATAATGCCATGGTCAAAAAGGGGTCCTTCCTTTGGGGTCATGTTCTTTTGGGGAACTACGGAGTTTCTCAACAGCCTCCGTGGATGATAGGGGTGCTTCTTGACTTCTGTGTCGCTGTTCTCCCAAAGTCTGTGGCAAGCGCCCTTAAGGGAGGTCGCAGGGCGAGGTCCTTCCTGTGAGGTCCTTCCTGGTAGGTCCGTTCGCATCAGGAAAACGAACACACCAAGAGGTTAAGTG